GGTGGAGGTTGCCGGCGGAAGGGGGGGGTCGGGCGAGGATCTTCGCCCCGGCAGGGGGGGCTCCGAGGATCATCTTCATCCCGGGAGGCGGCGTGGGCGACGCCGTCGATCGCGGTGGCGTCCGTGAGGCCGGAGGGACGGGCAGCTTCATCGGGATGAAATGGGGGGGCATTTGTTTGAGATGCCGCCTCACCGGGGGAGGGTCTTTCACCTCGAAAAAGCCGCCCTTCGGGGAAACGGCCATGGAGGGCCCCACCACTTTTTTCGGCACCGGGGAGGCAGAGGGGCCGACGATGGTGCTGTTGACGGCCACGTGACTGCGATTCTCCGATTGCGTCGAGGTGGTTTTAAGGGAAAAGTTTGAGACTCCGGGGACTAAAATACCGGAGCTTTCTGATCCCTGTTTCGTTGCCACCGAATTTTCAGCCTTACCTTTGTCTTCTCCCTCAGAATCTCCTTTTTGTGATTTCGTGTTTCCTTTGGAATGAAGGTGAAGGCCATCCGACAAGATGTTCCGCAAGCCGGGCATAATTTTTTCAGCAGGTTTTGATCCCTTCCTGCTTACACTCTTCAACGACAAAATGCAGTAGAGACAAGTCGGTCCTTCTCACTCTTCCTTTCAAGATTCAATCCTCAAAGGTAAAGATAAATATGAGCAACAGGAACGATGGGGCAAAATAATGAAGATGGGCCTAGTCTTTTACGAGCAAACAGAATGACTCTAGTATTCAGATCTCTAATTTTGATGTCTATGCTGTAAAGCTTAACAGACTCTGGAAAAGTGTATATGTGTGTATTTTAATTTTTATATACAGCGAGAATTAAAGGGTTAAAAAAGGGAAGAAATCTCCCGGATATCCTGTTTCCTCCCTTCAGTTCCCCTCTCCTCTACCCAGGAAGCGCTAATCAAGTGTATTCTATAGTGCGTGAGTGGGTATAATGTGTGCAGCCTTCTTTTCCTACACATAAAAAAAGAATATGAGTAAAGGCATAGCATAATGAAGACAAGTTATATCAATTTTTTTCCTACCCCTTCATATTGAAACCTCCCAAGGGCTTCTGTGTTGTTGTCCTTGTGAAAATCTTGCGCAATAGCAAAAGGAAGCGAGCAAACAACTCTTGCTTCCCCCTTCCTGAATTTCAGACCATGTATATACCCAAAAGTCAACCATAACAAAAGGCAAAGACCATTCCCTGGCTTTTCATGTTTTTTTTGGACCATTTCTTCCTTTCCAAACGATGCGAAAGGAAGAAAATAGTGGGGAAAAAGTAATAATGGTGATCCTACCTAAACGCCTCCCTAGCGATTTCGCATCATATGTGTTACGCGTTCCTCTCACTCCCCCCCCCTTCCTCCACCCACCTCAGAGAGTCTCCTCCTCGTCTAAAATGGGTTCCTCCTCGAAGGTGCTAATCCCGTCAATATGCGCCATGTGCTCGTTAAAAAGGCTTTGTGAGGTCGTCACGGAGCGGGTGTGGGGGATCGTCTCGCTCATCCGGCCCATCGCCGCGATATGCTGCGTGAGAGGGCTCTGCCGCTGCACGGTAAACGCGCGAAAACTCTCCGCCCACGCGGCGTGCTCGGTGAGATGAGCGAGATGGGTTTCCCCCATCCGCTCGTCCGCGGCGGCGCCGATTAACAACGGCATCCGTCGCCGCCCATTCACCCGCATAAATTCCTCTTTTACGAAGGCGAGATCGAGGGGCTCTTTGGTGATCTGCGTGGCTGCCCATAACGTGCCGTGGCTCCGCATGAGCTGGTGAAACATCATCGTCTGGGCACGCCGCCTCGCATAGATCTCGTTCATGCCTTCCTTTGGGTTACCCTCCTCACCTTCTATGATACTGAATTATCTGTGTGATTCTAAAAATCAATAAAGAAAGAAATGATAACACTATCAAAACCCCAAATCATAAAGAAATGAAAATTTGCAAGTCTGTAACAGGTCTCCAGAAATGTGTAAGACTTGTATATATTTATCAGATATTATTATATATATATATATATATATATATTGTAATGTGTGGACGTGCGTTTGCAGGAGTAAACATCGTCATAATAAACCTCAAAGCAGAAAATAGCATGAGAAAGTAAACGCCTCATAGATACCTTTGCTAATAATAAAACCCAGCAATCATGTCTAGCTTCTATTAAAAGTAAATATATAAACGATAAAAGACGTTAATCTGCTCCATCACTCAGAAAACATGAAACGTGAGTAAAAAAATAAGGAGAATGTGGGATCTCCCACAAAACATACGCCAAAGCGCTTTCCATCCCACCACCGTTGCCGTCCTTTCCGTCAAAAAGAGGGTTTCGACGGCGACTTCAACGAATCGGTCAAGCCCAGGTTATCCAAGTTCCTCACCCCGATGTAACTGTAGCCGGCCCTTTTCAGTTCCTCCTCCGTAGCCTTATCATCTCGAGCATAAGCGGGGACTGGCGAGATCATCGGCGTGCTGTACAACTTGAAGGCATCATCCTTTGCATAAACCCAAGTCCGTATCTCACAATACATCACGCCAATAAAAAGCAGCGTCGCCAGCTTAAAGAGACTCCAGCTCCAATCACGATTAAACCCGAAGAAGTCAAAAAACGGGACCCGCTCGCGTGATTCATAGCAGGGCTCCTGCCAGTGCGGCTTTTCCGGATCGATGTGCTTTAGATCGCCAGAATCATAGAGTCGTCTGTCAACCATATGCCTTCCCGCAGAGGAGGTATCAACATACGGCTTCGGCGGCATCGGAGTCCGCTTTCGTCTCACCAGCAGACGTCTAAGCCATTTCATTAAATCCTAACTTGCGCCCTTTCTTCTTTTGCTTTATTTTTTTTTTGCTATTATTTATTATAGTTATCTTAGGAGCAATAATATTCATAAAAATGAAGACCCCTCAGAAGAATGTTTTGCCGAAAACCACGCTTCTTGGTAGAGGAAAAGAGTACAGCACAAACCGCATGGTGCGGTTTGTTTTCCCTTGTTTGATAAGACTTCAAGCACTTAGTAGTTAATTAAACTCCCACCCCCTTTTTCATAGATCAAGAACTTTCACGAAACGCATCGTCTCTATAATAAATCTATAGGATTTAGGAAAAAATATGTGTGTATATATAATAGATTGATATTTCTAAACAGGGAAAAGGTATTTCGTGATGAGGGAAGAAGGTTCCTTTTGGTACCCTTTTTTACTTTGAGTTCTCCCCCCTTCCACCCCCATGTTTCCCCCCCTTTCAGTGTTTAGATCCACGCCATCCACCAAATGTACATCTCCGATAAGTTCTCCAGCGCGGAGGAGTGGCTAATAAGCTTGGAGACCTGCCCTTCGACGTTGAGCGCGAGCGTATCCTCCTCTCGGGGATTGGAGTAGAGATCCAAAAACCCATCGAGGCGTCGGGCAACGCGGCTGACGAGGCTTTTCGGCGCGATCGCAGGCCGCCGTGAACCGCGCCCGCTCCACTCCACCAGCGGATCATGCAGCAGCGTCTCCACGATGCTCATCACCGCGTTTTTGTTTTTCATCTGGCAGCGCAACGCGACCTCGCAGTTCGCGCGAAACGGCCCCTCCACCCCGAGCACCCCCATCCCATCGATGAGATTCTGCGTGAGGCGAAACCGAACCCGCTCGGGCACCTGCAGCAGCTCGCCTTTGTCAAACATGCAGGCGAAATCGACGTGGAGGAGCTCCCCACGCTGCAGGTCGATCATCAAGTTTTCCCCATGGCGATCGCCGAGCCCGACGATATGCCCGGCGATGCTCCAAATCGCGGTGGAGCGGGTGAAGAGGCCTCGCGCGCGATACCATTCCTCGTTCCCGGCGAAGGCCATATCAAACCACTGATGCAGCACCGGCGGCGCCGCCGGGAGGATGTAACGCGTGAAGAGCTCCATCTTTCCCAGCGTTTTCGCCTCCACCTTCGCGTACCACTTTTTCACCTCCGAGGTGCGGACCCCGGTGCCGTCGAGAACGTAGCTTTGATTCACCACCCCTCGCAAGGGGCTGAGGTGATTTACCCATTCGATCAACGCGCAGTCATCACAGAGCGCCGCGATGGCGTAGCGGCGGAGCGAAAACCCCCGTCGTCGCGCGTCCGGATCTTGTAAAAAGAAGGTATTCATGACCGCAGCGATCTCCATCATCCGAATATCCTTCCTCGGCTCGTCTTTCGCCTTGCAGAGAAAGGAAACGGCGTCGCCTTCGTTCGTGAAGACCCAAATCCGTTTCGGCATCTGCAGCGACGACATCACGCGCACCTTCTCGCTGAAATGATGAAACCACGGGCTGTGGGGGAAGACCTCCTCCGGATGCGTCGCCGCGACGTCGGGCGTGAGATTTCGCATCGTTGGGAGGATAAACCGCGCCGTCGGGAGGATTTTCTCCGCCTTTTGAATAAACGGCTGTTGGGTGAGCTTCGCGTGGTTGGCAAACGCGCTCGCCGGGCAGTTGCAAAGGTCGATCAAGGCCTGCAGAATGATGTAGGCGTTCTCCAAATGCCCTTTGTGCGTCGCCGCGAGTTTGATAAACGGGCTGAGGATGCTCAACTTCGCGATCTTCGCCCGCGCGGCTTGATGGCTGAACACGATCGGCAGCACCATCCACAGGCATTGCTGCGGGAAATACCGAAGCAGACGAACCACCGCGCGGGTGAGGATCAACCCGACGTGCGCGCTCGGATGGCAAAGCCGGGAGAGCAGCTGAGGGAGGGCGCCCATCACCACTTTAGGGGCGATTCCCCCGGCTCCCTCGGCTTCCCGAGGGCCCTCCCCCCCGGTCGGGGGCTCCCCTGCGAGCAAAAACCCTTCCACGAGGGTATTCAGCCGCCGAAGAAGGCGATCCGCGGCGGCAAGGCTCGCGGGCGGCGACGTCGCGGCGGCGAGGTCGAACAGCCCCGCGGTGGCGTCCAACCACAGCGTGAGCATCCGCGGCAAGGAGACGGACCGCGTCGCGTGGCCGCGCAGCAGCGCCTCGCCGAAGTGCGCGATCGCGAATTGCGCGTAACTCTCGATCGCGTGAAGGGTCGTGGCGGGGGATTTCGCCTCATTCGACTTCTCCGCCGTGGCGGCGGAAAGGGGCTTTTTCTCCCCACCCGACTCCACCGCCGCGGCGGAGATGGCGTAGAGCTTGTCGTAGAAAAGCGCGAGGTGGTGATGGGCGTCCTCGGAGGTGGGGTCGAGCGCGAGGGCGGTTTCGTACGCACTCACCACCTCCTTCGGTGTCTGCGACCCCACCTCGAGCTTCCAATTCGTCAGCAGCAGCTGGAGCTGGGCGCGGACCGTGCGCGAAAGCGATTCGTTCTCGGCATGTCGTTGCGCGAACTCCATCGCGTGCATCGTGGCGTTCATCTCGTATAGGATCTCCGCGTTGAGGGTGTAATACGCGGAGTTGCTGGGGTCCGCGGTTTCGTAATCGGACTGGCGCGCGGCGTTGAGGGCGGCCTCGAAAAACCCGGCCTCCCGGAGCAGCCGCGCGTGCTCAATCCACGTCTGCGAGACCTCCTGATTCAACCCCAACGCGCGATAAATCGAGCGATGCAAGGAGAGAATCGGCTCCCTCGCCTCAAGGCTGGAATCGAGATGGCCAAGACGCGTTTGGAGGGCCTCCACGACCAACCGAACCGCCCGCCGACGCTCCCCCTCGCCGCCTTCGGTTGAAAGAAGTGGGGTGCTGCTGGAAAGAACGGCCTCCCCCCCCTCCCCCCTCCGACGCGCCCCCCGAATCGTTTGCCGAGACGACGCATCAAAATCCCCCGTGCGGCCTTCCGTCGCGTCGCCCTCCGCTCCCGCGTTTGTTTGGAGGAGCATCTCGGCGGTCAAATCGACATCCGCGAGGCCGTGGAGCATCACCACGTGAGGGTAGCACTCGCGATACCCCTCCCGGC